CACATATAAACAAAAATATGTTCTCTTCTCAATTTAAAGTTATTAGGATATACATTTAATATAAAAACTTTTGGTTCAAGGGGAATAGTAACATTAATTATTTTACTTATCAAATTTTGCACTCCCTTCCAAAACTTCAAGATTTCTTCACACTCCCATACACAATGAAAGAAAGTACCTTTAAATAAATTACATTTAGGATATATGTCTGTGATATTTTCATAAAATGTATTTAATAATACTGGAGTTACATAGACTCACATTAGCCAATTATATTGTAGCAGTTTCAATCTTGTATTAATAGTTTGCATCTGAGCATCTCTGCAGGCCTCTCTCCAATCATCTATTGAAATCTCCTCATTGAGGTCCTTCCTCCATGCCTCTAAACGAGAGTTTGCAGACTCCTGAGATCCTTCTACAAACATGTTATATAAAAGTGAAATCAAACCTTTACTATTACAATTTTTGGTAATTTCCTTTTCCAAAATGGATAAAGGGGGTATATTATTAAAACATTTATGAAATGACAAAATAAAACTCCTTACTTGTAAATACCTAAAAAACTGATTTCTAGACATATCAAATTTGGTAATCACCTCTTGAAAGGACATCAATCTATCTTCCACATATAAATCCTTTATATTTTTAATTCCCTTTTCTGCCCATAATTTAAAGCCTACATCTGTTCTTCCCGGAATAAATTTTGTATTTCCCCATATAGGGCAATAACGAGATGTGTATGAATTTGTGTATGAAATATTCAAATATCTCTGCGTTTCATGCCACACCCATACCATGTTTAAGACTATTGGATTAGTCACATTTTCTTTCATTTTCTTTAATACTTTGCGATCTGAATCATATAAGTACGTTTCCAGAGATAGATCTGATTTGACAGATTTTTTTTCTAATTCTATTGCATCTGAGCATCTCTACAGGCCTCTCTCCAATCATCTATTGAAATTTCCTCATTAAGGTCCATCCTCCATGCCTCTAAACGAGAGTTTGCAGACTCCTGAGATCCTTCTACAAACATGTTATATAAAAGTGAAATCAAACCTTTACTATTACAATTTTTGGTAATTTCCTTTTCCAAAATGGATAAAGGGGGTATATTAATAAAACATTTATGAAATTACAAAATAAAACTCCTTACTTGTAAGTACCTAAAAAACTGATTTCTAGACATATCAAATTTGGTAATCACCTGTTGAAAGAACATCAATCTATCTTCCATATATAAATCCTTTATATTTTTAATTCCTTTTTCTGCCCATAATTTAAATCTGTATTTCTCGAGAATACATTTTTTATTTCCCCATATAGGGCAATAACGAGATAATGAATTTGTATATTAAATATTCAAATATCTATGCGTTTCATGCCACACCCTTACCATGTTTAAGATTATTGGATTCGTCACATTTTCTTTAATTTTCTTTAATACTTTGCGTTCGGAATCATATAAGTACGTTTCCAGGGATGTAAATATATATATTTACAAAAAATGTGATGTTTTTATTGATATTTTTGGTAACTTGATCGAATACAAATCAGCAGTATTTTTTTAAGACGCAATGCTGTTATTTATGCTTCTGTCTTTGAATAAAATAATTAAACTATATAATATAAATAATTTATTTTATATAAAATATTATATAAATATGTTTAATTATATTATTTATACTTAGTGTCTTAGTACTTAAATCTGTAAATCTGCAGTAATTAAACAAAAAAATTATATATATACAGTGGGTACGGAAAGTATTCAGACCCCCTTAAATTTAGTTAGGATGCAAAGAAGTAAATTTACTGCTATAAGCAATAATAAAACCTGTAAAAAGTTAAAATAGAATTGCAGGGCTATGTTTAATTCTAGATTTTTTTCAAATTAATTCAGACTTTTCCTAAAATTAAAGTTTATTAGAACGGAACATATTTACAGAGAAGAAAAAGTCGTAGCTTCGTCCTTAATTTGTGTTCATCAGTCATTCTCAAATTCCGGCTTCTCATATAGACAGTCCACTGTAAATGCGCAAATGATTGACATGCAGCAGAAAGTGCTTCAAAGGCCTTCTGATTAGTTCAAAGTGACCCTGGACCACAAAACTAGTCATAAGGGTCAGTTTTTTGAAATTGAGATTTATACATCATCTGAAAGCTGAATAAATAAGCTTTCCATTGATGTATGTTTTGTTAGGACAATATTTGGATGAGATACAACTATTTGAAAATCTGGAATCTGAGGGTGCAAAAAATCTAAATACCGAGAAAATCGCCTTTAAAGCTGTCCAAATAAAGTTCTTAGCCATGCATATTACTAATCAAAAATTACGTTTTTATATATTTACGGTAGAGAATTTACAAAATATCTTCATGGAACATGATCTTTACTTAAAGATGCAGTCCGTAACTTTTTTGTGTTCAAAATTTACAAAATGTATATATTAAGCGATTACACCATGAATCCATTTTCCAAACCGTGTTTTTGGCTTGTGCTGAATCACTACGTTACACCTATAATAAGTGTTTATATTCGGACTATTTAGACTGGTTCGGGTAGGTACCGCTGCGGAGTAACCCAGTACCTGCGTGATTCGTCATAGACATAAACAGAGAGAAGTAGCTTCGGCTACAATGTTCTGCTGCAAGACACAGGCAGTTCTATTTATTAAAGGGGTCACATGATGCAATTTCAATTTTTTCTTTCTCTTTGGAGTGTTACAAGCTCTTGGTGCATAAAGAAGATCTGTAAAGACTCCGGACGCTCCTTCATCGAATTCCCCCTGCCACAGCGTTCTCAAACCCACCGGCATCCGCTCACTCTAAGCCGCCGTGTGTGATGCTGTGTTTCGTTGTGAAAGCAAAACTACTTTGTTTGGCCTTCCAAAAACGAACACGACTAGAAATCAGTGTTTAAGTTGTATTTACAACACCGTTCCAGAACACTTCAACCCAAATATTCAGATGTGTGGAGGACTGTTTCCTGATCCTGATAGAGTAGACTACAATGCCGGCTGT